CTTAAAATAGACAATGACTAAAGTTGTACGAGTGGCTAGTTGTACACTCTTTCCATGATTGCCTCTGTAGCTGTTATTTACAATAGTTATATGCTAACTAATTATCAATAAACTCCTGGGTTGCAATTATTTGCCTTAACATTAAAAAAAAAAAAATTCTGGTTTAAATATAAGTTTTTATGATAGTAGTATCATAAAGTTTCGATAATGCAAAAATGAATTTACTACATACATTAGTCTTGTCAATTGTTTTAAAAACACATTCAGAAATCAGTTCACTAACAAAGACTTTAATCAACTTCAAACATTTTATCAAAGTAAAAAGAATTATGAAATTGAAATAAAAGATGCATTTGAAACAAATGAACTTGTTCTTAAAAATAATGATAATATAAACAATAATGAAGAAACACAATATCTCGATGATTAAATCCTTACCTTATCACAAATCAAAAAATTTCAAAAAATATTTTTAAAGAGTACTATTAAAGAAAATAATGAAGAGCAAGAAGTTAATGAAAAAATAACTACTCTTTTAGATCAACAAGAAAAAGAGGCCTTTATTCATAAGCTTCATACTATAATCTGTTATAAAACTAGAATATGTTTGTCTAAAATTAATCATGAAGCCACATTTAAAATTTTTAACAATCTTCAAAAACTATCAAAATCTGAATACAATATGCTTTTATTAGGAATACTTCATATAATAACTCGTCCAACTGAAACATTATGTGATAAAGAAAAACAATACTTAACCGTTAAATATACATTTGATACAAATAAAATTTGTGAAAAAGCATTTCAAACAATATACTCACTATCTAATAAAAAATGTGATAATATTCATCAGCACTATCATACAAATAGTATCAAACCTATTAAACATGTGCTTATTAGAAAAAAACCTTTTTCTGCTTTGTTATTTACAACTGTTTTAAACATTCTTACATTTATTATTAATTACACAAACTGCTATAGATTACCATCATCAGGTAAACTTATTATTATATAAATTGTTGCACAGAAAAACTATGCTTAGAGTTTATAAAAATATATACTTTAAGCATAGTTTTTCTGTGAAACATCCCTTACTATCTATATTTATTTTAATCTACATTAGTAAATTATTTTTAATACATAGGCCAACATTTTCAAGAAGATACTATGGCTATTATATTTCTTTCAGCTAGTAAAAGTTATGCAGTATTACATTATATTTATCAGTCAAATTTAGATGAGAATTCTGATTACTATGTTAGCCATTGGTCTTTTATGTGGATTTGGAAAAAATACGTATCAGAAATTCACTTTTTGTCTCCTAGAAGCAATTTATGTATGTTATGTAAAAATATGTGATTTAATTCTCAATTTTGGTCAGAGAGTGAACGAGATTATAATATTCAGCAATAGTATGGTCATATTAATTAGGCGAATCAAGAAAAAGAATATTATAAGTATATAATTAATAATCTGTGAGTTGTTACAAAAAAATTTTAATCTTATGATCTCTAAGCCTATTTGAACTATTAATTTTACAAATATAAAAGTAAAAGAGGGTAATATTCAGCAGATTTAAAATTCATCAAAATTCACTAATAGTAAAATATTTATTAAAAATATTACTAACTAAAAATTTAGTTTAATATCATATATTTTAACAACTTTTTTTCATAACTTTTACTTAAATAATTTCAAAAATTGAAAAATAAAGTGGTGGATTAATAAATTGACATAAAATTAACTGTTAATAGTAATAATTATTAGCATTAGCATTTATGACAATCTCACTCACTCTGTATCAAAAAGTATTTGCACAATTATATAAAATCCTTTAAACAGAATCAGATGTTTTTTTACATTATTCGATTCATCTTAATGAGATGGATCGAATGATGTAAAAATTATTAATTTTTAATTGATAAGTCATATATAGACTTTAATATAATTTAATTCACCACTTTATCCACCTGCTGAATTATCTTTCTTTACCTTAATCTACTAGTTCATCTATTCCTAGTTCAATGTAATTATATTGTGCAATTGCCCTATTAAATATTAATAATAAGTAATCAATTTGTTGCATGTTAAGTTTTGTTCATCTAAATGATCAGATTGGCTTAAATATCATGAGACTGATAATTTTTTGTTTTTTTTTTATTAGTAATAATTATTTTATTAAATTTTTAAGCAATACATATTAAGTACTAAGCAATAGTTAGAAAATTACATTTATATATATAAACTCTTGTGTCCAGGAATGCTGAGTTCTTTAGAATTTGAAAACCATATTTCATGGAATTTTGCTGAATCTGTACATCTTCTATTTTCTTTACAACAAGAAGTATTTATTAATTAGTAACTATAAATGCTTGATGAAATTATTTTGGCATTGACGTAACCTTATAGTTTCATCAGTTCATTAATGATGAAACTATAAGATTACATTAGATTACATTAGGTTATATCAGGTTTACAGTTACATGAGTTTTGTCAAGCATCTTTATTAGTAGCACAATATAATTAATAAAATATATATTTATTTTTAAATTAATTAAATTATTTACTTTAAGAAATCTATTTATTTTAAATCTTTGTTTAAAGTTTCAATTTTTGAAATATGTAAAGACACTTTTCCACAACAGGTCTTAAATTTTTTTTTTTTTTTTAAATATTGTATAATTTATTTATAAATTACTAATAAATTTTAAAATTAAAAAAATTACCTAATTAAAAAAAAATGAGGACATTAGAAAAGGAGCAAATGCAGTTATCTCAATGGTTCACCATTATTTTGAAAACCATGGTCTTAGAGAAAAGTATATCACTATTTATATGAACAATTGTCCAAGGCAAAATAAAAATAATGCAATGATAAAATATTTAATATAGTGTGTTTTAAATAATTTATATAAATGAATTATATATTCTTTTATGATAGCAGGTTATACTAAATTTCTCTCAACAGATTTTTTGGACTACTTAAACTAAAACTTCGAAGCTCTGATGTAAATAATTTAGCAGATTTAGTTCAAGTTGTTCAAGATTCTACTGTTGGCAGCTACAATACAGCACAAACTATTTATAATCAGAATGGTATTCAGCAAGTTTGATTTTATAAGTGGATTGAGTTTTTAGATGAATTATTTGGAAATGTTCTACAAATTTTAAAGCAACACTATTTTATTATTTTATTAAATAAATCTGGACAAGTAGAAATAAAATCAGCTATCAATAGAGAAAAAATAGAAATAACATTATTCAAAAAAAATAAAGTTAATTTATTTCCCTTGCTTACTCTTTCAGCTTCCTTTTTAGCAAAAAATATAAAGCCAGAAAGACAGTAGTATTTATATAATCAGATTCGTGAGCATATTCATAACCTAGCAAAAAGGGATGATCTTTGTTTATTACCATCTGTGCCTCGTCTTACAGCAAAATAAAACCAATAAATTTATTTTTATTGGTCAATAGTATGTATATACAAAACAAGCTATTCTCATGTATGATAGTTATTATCTAAGCTTAATATGTTATATTTGTTAAGCCTCTTATTTTTGAATTGAATAAAATCTATATCTTGATAAAAAATTATATAATAATTAATATAGAGTAGTATAAATAGGAAATATATTTGGATCTTATTTGTGAAGTGTTTCATGAATATCCTTTTATAAGAAAGTAACAAATTGCAATAGTCTGTGCCAAGAATTCTTTTTTTAAATTTCCAATTATGAACAGCTGTTTACAAGTATGTGCATTACTTACAAAATGTTAATTTTGTGTATGTGGCACCTGCATATCTATTCAAAAAGAAAATGTGTGTAAAATTTGTCTTTGTGCTATATACAGCCTACAGTGAAAAATAACACTGATGGTAATGCATAATATTATATAAGTTATTTTAAGAGACTTGTTAATGCCACCCCCTATTTTTGTTAATAACACCCCCCATGTGGTCGGAAACAGCTTCCAATCAAATGTCGATCATAATCACATGATAATGAATCAGAAAATTTATTATTCAGTAGATATTTACTAAACATTAGTTACACATTATAAAATACATTATATGTATAAATAAATAACTATATACTATTAGAGTAATAAGAATATTATATGTAATATCTTAGGATTATTATTCTACAAAATATAATACTTATTTTTATATAGTAATCTGCTTTAAGATTAGTATGATAGTGACATTTGAATAATCAATAATTACAAATATAATGTGTTCAATTGTTAAAATACTTTAATGTTTTTCTACAAATTTCTGAAGTATCTGTATTATTAAGATCGATTTTTAATAATTTATTTAAATCTGCAAGTGCTTTATCACATCTATTTTGACTTTTTAGTGCCTAATTTAATTTCTAATAATTTTTTAGATACTGTATTATAAGCTGTTTTTTTAAATTTGCATAATACATGACAAGTTGCACCCTATTTTTAATTTAAATATGTTATCTTGATCAATTTTTAACGATCTAGTAAAATTCGCTTTGTATTTATTAATTATGTAATCTATTTTTTTATTAGATGTAAGGATAGTAAAAAATTATTTTTACCAATTTAGATCATGTGATAATTATAATTAGAATATGCTGAGGTTCAAATTTAATATATTTGAATTATAATCATCATATATAAAAAATAATTTTTTACCATTTCTAATTAGATATTATTAGATTTGATTCTTACAAACTGACTTGTTGATCTATTGTATATAATTGAGAATGTCTTAATACTTTCGATATCAATACTGTTAAAATTTTTTTAAATGAATCTTCTAATGTGTGCATTTAAATATTCTTTTAAAATGCTACATTATAAGCTATCACAGATACTTGATGTATAGACATATGTAGATTTGCATTATTTAAACTGACTTAAAAATTTTTTAATAAATAAAGATCAAAAAATTAAAATTATACTTAACCTGTTCTATTTTCGATGTACTTAACATAAGTATTATATAATATGTTTAATTTGCATATAAAAGATATTGATGATAAATAATAATCTTTTTTTGTTTTTCTGTTTTCACTATTTCACTTTAAATATCAAAACCTAAAAACTTATAAACTCTCGTGAGTGTTTAAAAATATATTAAACCAGACAAATATAAAATTGGTTAGTAAATTTTAAAAAAAAATAAAAAATGAAAAAAATAACAATAAATAAAAAAGCAAAAATGAAAAATAAAATAAACAAATAAAAAATATATTTATGAACTTATCTCTCATTTCCAATATACTTTAACAATCATATAGTTTATACATGTCCCTTATATAATGCACAAATATGCTTCCACCATTGCCTGGTCAATTTTCAAATCATGATGAGCTTTTTTCATATGTTCAAACCTTTGCTATAAATCAAGGATATGCTATAACCATAAAGAGATCAAGAACTGATAGAAACGATGAAATCAAAAATACATTGTTAGGTTGTAACAGAAGTGGTTCTTACAGAGAAAGGTTAGATCATTCACGCCATAGAATGACAGCCTTAAGACTTATAAATTGTCCATTTGAACTCTTTGCAACTAGATGTAGTAATGTTTGGCATCTTGAAATTCATAATTCTGAGCATAACCACAAGGCATCAGAAGATATGTCTGGTTACTCAATTGTTCGACAGTTAAATTCTGAACAACGAGAACAAGTTCAGATAATGGCTGATGCTGGTGCCCATCCTTGCCAAATTTTAGCAACAATTCATCAAAATAATTCTTCTTCAATGGCAATATCCCAAACAATTTACAACATCTTGTATTCTATTCGCCAGGAGAAACTTAATGCCTGTATGCCAATTCAAGCCCTTTTAGATGAATTGCAAGGATCTGATTTCGAATTTGAATACAAATGTGATAACCAAAATCATATAACACATCTTTTTTTCGCTCACAGAATTTCTATTGCCTTAACCTGCACCTACCATACTGTATTATTAATGGATTGTACTTACAAGACTAACAGATACTGAATGCCTTTGCTGAATATCATTGGTGTATCTGATTTTAACACTACATTTTTTTTTGTTTTGCTTTCTTAAGTGATGAAAAAGAGGCAGATTATGAATAGGCCATGATATGTGTTTCAAAAATTTTTAAAGAATTACCTCATCCTAATGTCATAGTTACTGATCATGAATTGGTGTTGATGAGAGCTATTAGTAAAATCTTTCCTAACACCCAAAATATTTTATGTATATAGCACATTAACAAAAACATCTTAGCCAAGTGTAACCATTATTTTGAAACAGAAGAGCACTGAACTGAGTTTATAAAAACATGACAAGTAGTAGTAACATCTGCTACTAAAGAAGAATTCACAGTTCGATAGAATGAATTTTTAAACTGTTATGAGAGCAAACCTGAAATTCTAAATTATATCTAAGAGACCTGGATGCTACATAAGAAACGTTTCATTTCAGCCTAGATCAATTGTTATTTACATCTCGGAAACAAGGCAACTTCATAAGTAGAAGTAGCATATGCTACCCTTAAATGGTGTTTACAGTCATCTGCAGGTAGAGATGGTAAAATTTTTTTTTTTTATAACATAATTAAAAACAAGTAATTACATATTATAATAAATTAATTATCATAACTTTAATTACATTTGTTTGAATTCATGAATTTATTTTCTTATTTTTTTGATTTACCATCCTTATATGAAAGTGATCTAGAATCAGTGCACTGCAAAATAGTATTATTAATAGAATCTCAAACAAGAGAAGTTTGTGCAACCATTTCTTCTTAACGTATAAAAGTATTATTTGTACACCAAATCCCTCTGTTTGGACCTTTTTTATGCCATGTGTCTGTCTTTGCTTTGAACAAAATCCGAAATGAATAGATAAAAGCAACAAGTGCAACTTCAGATTCTCATCTCAACCCTTGCACTGTAATTTTTAAATCTACTATGGGACTTCCATGTTCGCATGTAATTAGTGAACATTTAGCAACTGGTCAACCATTACAGCAAGCTGATATTCACAAACATTGGTGGATTCAAGGTCGTCATTTCAAATTTCTAAAACCCATATATTCTGCAAATGAAAATAATACTGATCTTCAGCCTCTTCTTCAATCTCTTACACAACTGTATCAATTCTGGCCACCACACCAACAAGCTATCATTTATGCCTAGCTAAAAGAGCTAACACATATTCCTTCTATTATAGTAGAAAGTCCAATTATTAATAAGCTACAAGAAAGACCAGTTGGTGCAAAAAATTGAAATCAAAGATCTGTACGATGAGATTCATCTGCATTTGAGATTGCTGAAAAACGACTAAGGCAATGTAGTACATGCCATCAAATTGGTCACAACTGTCGAACATGTCCCAATTAATGAATCTGTAAATATGTTATAGGCCAATAATGTTGTTATTAAAATAGATTTAATAGATACAAACCTATATTTGAACCTATTAAGAGATTCAGGTCAATAACTTTGCAAAATTAATGAAAAGACTCTTGTTAATTAATTAGATCGAGACTGTAAATTTGCGAATTAATAAATGCTCAATTAAACTTCCCTGTATAAGACTTTGATGGTTATTACTTATTTTACCAACAGTCATTTTACAGAAAATAAAAAATTGGCTAGCATTAACCTAATCTTAACCTAAAAGTAGCTTATTTCGGTAAAATGATCTGTTGATGAAATGGCTTTCAGGAAATTAAGCTATAATGGACTTTGATATATAAGTTTTCAATTTTCAATATATATTTCAGACAAGTTGCTTACAGACAGATCTTGTTATAGCAACTTGCTCTATAATATATTCTGAATTTATATAAAATTTCGAATTTGATATATTAATAATAGTTCAGTATAGACTATGCTATAGGCTCTTAAAGAAAATACGATAATAAAAATTTAGGCTTCGTTACTGCATTTGGGATCATTTAAAAGTGTGGTGCATTTGCATATTGATCTACATATTGCATAAGCTCTATTTGTGATATTTATATATAAATAATATCAAAAATCTAATCCTACATTAGTTGCATTAGTCATGTTCCAGTTATATGAATCACTATTATTTACGATTGTTACATATGACATGTGTCGGAATTCGATCAGAAGCTGTTTCCAACCACATGGGGGTGCCATTAACAAAAGTGAGAGGTGGTGTTAACAAGTCTCTATTTTAAATACACTAATTAATAAAACAGCTTAATATACATCTAAATGAATATAAATATTGTAGTTTATATAGCTTACTTTAATTATATCAGTTAATAAGTTATCTTACATTTATATTAGATTAATGTGAGTAAAATATAATATCGGTAAAATTAGCATAAATAAAATGAAATTAAAAGGATAAGTTTATGGATAATGTGATAAGTAAATACTACGAATTCAAATACTGTAGTTTATTTTAATTATATTGACTAATATGTTTTTATACTTACCCCAAATGATATAAAATTGAATAAGGCAAATATATATTGGTAATGCTAAGTTACTTGTAAATGTATCGATTAATGAGATATCTTTATATTTGCCTAAATTAACTTGAGTTAGAAGAGCTATGACAATAGAAAAGTAAGTATTTAAAAAAATCTCTACATTTACAAAATTAATTCGAATAAAATACAAGGATTGGTATAACAGTAATAATACATCAATTTTATACTCGCATAAATTAACACAAATAAAATAAATATAGTGAGTGAATGCTATAACTTGTTTAAATACATCAATTATAAAACATTTAATACTTGTATAACTAGATTAAATATGAAAGTTATTAATTATAGAAAACTCCTAATATAATAGTGCTAAACAGTGTTCAAAGATACTATTTACACAAATATTTCGTACTTTTAACATTACATGAACATTTATCATAATGCCTTTTCTGCAGCACTTTTAACGTTATATGACTATTTATCATAATATCGATTTCCTCCCCTTTCTGCAGCACTTTTAACATTATACAAATATTTATTTATCAGAAATTTTTGTAAACTGTTGATCATCTGTACTAATTTTCTGATATCTAAATTAGGTCGGATGCATGCAGATCTTTGTTATAATCAAAACACAAATCATAAGTTATCTTATAATTTTACAAATGTTGATTTCTACTCTTTTTGTAGTACTCAGCTCATATGCTTATTGACTGTAGTGATAATTGCTTCTTCTATAGTATTCCATACACCATTTATTTTTGTTTATATGTTCCTCTATATCTTGCATCTCTGTTTAGATATTTTTTAGACTTTTTTTTATTTCTAATTACTTTTGCAGCTTTTGTGCATAATTTTCCTAATTTTCTGGTTTTGTCTAATTATATAGATATAATGTTCTTAATTGTCTTTTTTTTTTAATTTCTGTTTTACTGTTTTTTCTTATCATATGTTTAATCCATATTTTCATAGTTATAATTTTATGATTGCTCTCTGTAATTCCTTTTGTTTCTTCAATGTTTGCCTTTTACAAACCCAAGGCCAGTTCTTTTGATACCCAAATATAGTCAATTCTTGTTGCAGCTTTCTTGTTTAACTATGTATAATTTTGGCTTGTTAGATATATATTTCTATATGTGTCTATGAAGTCTTGTTTTTTCATCTAATTAAAGATCAATAGTTTTTTAAAACTTGCTGCTTGTAAGTGTTGTCTATCTAATATATTGTCTGCCATATGATTAAAGTCATCTATAATCATAACTTGTGTTTGTCTTTTTTGTTTAGTAACCATCTTTACAATCTTTTATTGAATATTTTTTCTTATTGTCTTGTTACTTAGTGGTATATAGACTTTTATCACTATTAACTCCAATTGCTTAAAGTACAGTATGACCTTTATTTTATATTCACTTATTCTCTTAACTGCACCCACATGCTTTTTTCATTGTTTTTCTATTAGAATTCCTATACATGATCCTTTTTTCTTATCTTCTGCTGCATTTGTCCAATATCCTATATAGTTTTTGTTTGATGCATATCTTAGAAGCCTTTCTTCTCTTTTAGTAATATTTGTTTCTATAATTTCTAATATTACAATTTCCTTTTTTTCTGCCCAGCTAAGCAGATTTTCAAGCTTTCACTCTTTGGTTTTTAATCTATTAATGTTATGACATGTTATTTTAATCTCTTTCTTTTCTTGCTTTATTTCTCTTTTAATTGGTTTTGTTCTGCTTTTATATTTTCTGCTCTTTCTTTTTCTTTTCTAGTTTTTTTTTTTTTTTGATAAGAAGTTATGCTTTTCTCAAATATTTCTTTTTCTCTTTATAAAAAACCTTCAAGCTTTTTATCTATTTTTATTAGTTCAACTAAGGTGCCCTTAAAAGCAATCAGCTAGACCATCTTCTATTCTCAGCTGCATTTTTTCTATTGATTTGTTTTGTTAAACTTTAAGTCTGTCTAATCTTTCTAAGATTTTTTGAAACAAATCTTATATTTGTAGTTTGAGATTATCTTCTTTTGTTTGTTTTATTTAACTATCATCTTTGCTTTTATTGTTTCCCCTTTTGGTTATTTCTCTTTTGTCAATTTTCTGCTCTTTTTCATTTACATTAATATATATATCTTCTGTATTTAAGTGTCTTTAACTGTTACTACCTTTTTTCTTTTTATTCCACTTTTTTTGAAAGTTATTCCAATATAGAAGGTGGTAGTTAAATCTTATTAGTTTGGATTGTGCTATTTTCATTTTTTCTTCTGATACAAAGATGATTGTTACTACTCTTCTTTGGTTTTCATTTCTGTTAGATAGTATGTAAACTGATTTTGCCTCTTTGTTTTTTAAGCAGCATAGTAGTAATACTTTTGAAGCATTGCCTAGAAGCCCTGTTAGTCTTGTTGTGAACTAGTTTTGAAGATCATATTGGGTATAATCTTCATTGCTTTTGGTTACTCTTGCCAACTTGTAAATACTGATTGTCAAAGTTTATGAAATATTCTTATCAGTAAGTTGATCTGCTTAAACTACTGCTAATGTCTTGTGTTTAGATCTTTTAATGCATATTATTTGTATCTTATTGAAGCTTTTACATATATACTTGATTTTCTCTGCATTGATGTTTATAAGTAAGTCTTATATTATACAACAGTTATGTAAATTTATTTCATTTTTTGTTGTAAACAAGTCTTTTTTCTTTTTATATTCTTTTTTTCTAAATTGGTTTTTGTATCTTTCTTTTTCTTTTTTGTTGTTTTAACTTGTTGTTTGAGTTTTGCTTCTTTGTTCCTCTCATTTCTAAAATAAGCTTGAGCTATTCACCTTCTTTTTCTTAAATTTTGTCTATCACTGCATTTCGACTATGTTTGCAATCAAAGTTTACTTTTACTCAGTTGTTTCTATTCTTAAAAACTTTTTTAATTACTTTAATATGATAGTTTTTGTGCAAAATCCATTGCCTGTATTTTATCCTTTCATTACTTGTTTCTTTTAGCAAGATATATGCAGGCATGTTTGCTTTGAAAGACATGTTCTTGTTACATATTCTATTTTCTAATGACCATTGGCTATGCTCAATTGTATTAACAAAAATTGGATTTTCATAGGTTATATTTTCTTCTTTTAATTCTATTATTTTCTTGTCAATGTTTTTTATATTTCTTCTAACATCTTGAATTATGTTATCTCTTGAAGCTTCTGTGTCCTTCTTTATTTTTTTTCTCTTGCTTTTTCTGCTTCATTTAATTTGTTTAAGCTCCTTCATTTGGTTAATAATTTCATTTATTACTTAAATTGGTTTTTTTTGAAGTGTTTTTTCTCTTGTTACATTTTAACATCTTTTTTTTGTTATTGATATTTGCATTTTTTTTATACTGTTTAGTTTTTCTATTCTTTCTATTTTTCTCTCTTCTTTAAGTATTTTTTCTTTACTCATATTTGTAATATATTCAGCTAACTTTGGGTTCTAATTTATCAATCTAAGTCTTTGTGCCTATTCATTTATTATATCTTCTTCAAACTAACTTAATTCTGCTAAACTCAAGACTTTAAAAATTTGTTTATAAAGTAGTACATTGCTTATTGCTAGGTCCTTTGTTATATGCTCTATATTGCCTAGTTCTTTTGCAAACATTGTTAGAATTTGATCCAACAATTCAGAATTTAAATATCTTTAATTTTTATCACCTGCCCTCTTAATGTAATACATAATGTTTGTGTTATTAATCCAA